CTCTCAGCCTCGTCTGGAAGGACAGGAGTTTTGCATTAAGCATATCCTCGAGGACAAGAATGCACCCTTCAAGCAATGTAGTTATATATCCACGAAGAATGGAAAGAGATGTCCCAGTGCTGCCCCAAAGCCAGAGAAGAAAGATGGGTATATGTAATTTTTAAGTTGAGATTTTCTTTTGTGCTGGAGGTTGAACCCAGGACCCACCCACAGCCCTCTGTTCCTTTAAAGTGAGGGGCAAAGTGTTGTGATGTGGGCTTGAGGCATAACAGCCTTTTGGATCACGTACTTGTAAAACTGGGGTCGTGGGCACATCTCGGGAAAGAACGTTAAAGTGCTGAAAACTAGAAGGGCCCTTGAGTCGGGCCGCTTACTGTAGTCCCTCTCTTCGAATCTTTTCCCTTTATCTGTGAGGTGAAGAGATGTTCTCACTTATCTTACTGCTGGTGTGTTAGCTCTGTTCGTTGTCCGTGTATCTTGTTGAATAGCATACAAAATTGTGTATGTATGTATTCTTTTGGACAAGACTTACAGTACACAAAGGTACCCTTGTAGAAACATTACTAGATAATTGTGTATGTATTCTGTACTTTAAAATTGCATGCAATATCTTACTACCTACAATGGATTGATACTAAAATGTTCCTTCCAGAATTAATTCTGAAAAATGCAAGTGGCTGTCTGATATGTTATGAGATAGTCAACATTTTATTATAGTTGGAATGTTTTGTTTGATGGCAGAGTACTAGATTAAGCTACCTGCATTTTCTTTTCTTTTCTTTTCTTTTTTTTTTGGTATGGGGGATTGAACTCAGGACCTTGCTTTTGCAAGACAGGTGATGTGCCACTGAGCTAAATCCCCAGCCCTGCATTTTCTTTTTAATAACACCAGATGTGGGCTGAGCTACCACACATGGGACCAAACCCAGAGCCATGCGCAAGAAAACAAACAAATGAGTTGACCTTGGGCCAGTTAAATTCCTTGGATTTTACTGGCCTTTTTAGGAGTTAATATAAGTCATTTTGATTTCCTGAAGTGATCTAGAGACCTATGACTAAGAAAATCATTGAACCCTTTCAAGAGGGAGCCTATAAAATATTAATATTTTGTCTCCTTAGTATGTCCTTCTGTGCTGATCATGCCCGAAGGAATGCCCTAGCGCTTCATGCTCAAATGAAGAAGACCAATCCAGGGCCTATGGGTGAAACTCTGTTGTGCCAGCTGAGTTCATATGCTAAGACAGAGTTGGGCTCTCAGACTCCAGAAAGTAGCCGTAGTGAAGCCAGCCGAATACTGGGTAAGGATCTTCTCTCCTAGAATAAAAAGGAGAAAGAAATGTTAATAAAGAACTTTGGTCTAGTCCAGTGACTTGAACATATTTGGTAGTATTGTTAACTCTTTGGGAATTTGATGAGAATTCTAGGATTGCTATCTTCACCAATTCTTTTGAATTTGAAATAGTTTTCTTAGGTTCACGCTCTTGAGCTGGGGACTTTTTCTGTATTAAAAGTTTTTAAATTTAATTTTAAGGTTTGGGCTGATCTGTTGAGTAATCAGCTGTGTGGTGGAGTTACAGAGGTGGGAAGTCTTAATAGCTGCTCTCCCTTCCTTGCCTCAGATGAAGACAGCTGGAGTGATGGGGACCAGGAACCCATTACTGTGGATCAGACATGGAGAGGTGACCCTGACAGTGAAGCTGATAGCATAGACAGTGATCAAGAAGATCCCTTAAAGTAAGTCGTAACTCCACATAAAGCTTTTGCATTTTTTGGTAGTTAGCGTGTGGGATGTGGTATAATATGTAGATTGTTAACTAAGGAAGGTAGAAGATAGCTTAGCTATTTGTGAGCCATGGCAGCTTCTGTATATTAAAGTGTAAGGGTTCATCATGCTGTGTCTCTTCAAGTCAAGATTTTATTTTTTATTTTTGTGGTACTGGGATTGAACCTAGGGCCTTCAGACTGAGCTACCCCAGGCCCTCTTCCTTTTTAAAATTGAGACAGTGGGGCCGGGGATTTAGCTCAGTGGTTTCACTGCCTGCTGCGCAAGCGCAGGGACCCGAGTTTGATCCCCGGTACCAAAAAAAAACCAAAACGTTGAGACAATGTCTTGCTAAGTCAGTAAGTTGCCTAGGCTGGGCTCAAACTTGGCATTTTTCTTGCCTCAGCCTCCCAGAGTGCTGGGATTGGGATTGGACACTATTATGTCTGGCAAATTTCCTTTTTTTTTTTGTAGAAGTCTTATAACTTTGAAAAAATGTTTGAACATCAAATTTTAGACAAGAGAAAGTATAAGTGAGAAAAGTCAGATTTCGTGAACATGACAGTGGAGGTAGGTTGAGAAATAATTAGACTGGTTAGGCTGGGGATTTAGCTCAGTGGTTTCGCCGCCTGCTGTGCAAGCGCAAGGACCCAGTTTCAATCCCTGGTACCAAAAGAAAAAAAAAGCAGGGAATAATTAGACTGGTTAAAGATGAGAAAATGGATGTTAATGGGTGCTTGTTCTAAACTTCAGGAATAGTGAGGTGCTAGAACAATTACTTATTTTGCGAAATATAGTGTGTATTTTATTTTACTTTTGAAAGAAAAAAGGTGTTTAGTTTGCTTTGGTTTTGTGCTTAAGGAGAAACTGAAGCCTGGGCACAGTGGCACAGTGGTGTATGCTGAACACTCTGGCAGGCTGAAGCAGGAGAATTGCAAGTTTGTGCCCACCCTAGGTAACTTACCAAGACCTCTATCTCAAGAAAGAAAAAAAAAGAGGGGCTGGGCCGGGGATTTAGCTCAGTGGTTCTGCTGCCTGCCTCACAAGCACAAGGTCCCGAGTTCGATCCCTGGTACCCCCCCCCCACAAAAAAAACCTCCAAAAAAGTGGGGCTGAGGATGTAGTTTGGTTTTTGTCCTTGGAGAAAGAGAAGAAGGTGGTTTTGGGTTTAATCCTGAGGGGAAGGGAAGGAGGAGAAACTTATTTAGAAGTCCAGAAATGAGTAATCTTTATTATATCTTACTAAGGTTGTCCTCTTCACTAATCCGTGATCACCTTGGGAGATATAGAGGCATCAAAAAACATTGTTACTCCGAAGTCTCATATTTCTGTGTCTCATGGCTTGCCTTTAGCTCTTGTTTTCTTTTAATTGCACTGCTGGAGGTTGAACCCAAGGCCTTGTATGTGGTAGGCAAGCACTCTACCTACCACTGAACTACATCTGTAGCTCTAAGTTGTTTTTCTGTACTTGGAATCCCTCCCCCCACTTCTAACATTTGCCTCTTTTTTTTTTTTGGTACTGAGGATCGAACTTGGGACCTTGCACTTGCGAGGCAGGTGGCAGAACCACTGAGCTAAATCCCCGGCCCTAACATTTGCCTCTTAACACTACTGGCTGACAATTCAGGCAGAAGTACTTTAGATAGTGGGAGGGATTATGAATTTCTAGACTTGACTGTTAGGCTTTAAAAAAAAAAAAATCTACTAATGATTGGACCCAGGGCTTTACACACACTGGGGAAGCACTTTACCACTGAGCTGTATCCCCAGCCCATTTTATTTATTTTTTGGAGGAGATAAGGTATGTTTATGTAGTCCAGGCTGGCCTTGAATATATATATATATTTTTATTTTTAATTTTTTTTTGGTACCGGGGATCGAATTTGGGACCATATGCTTGTGAGGCAGGTGGTGGAACCACTGAGCTAAATAAATCCCTGGCTCTGTCCTTGAATTTATTTTGTTTTATTTTTTGGTACCCGGGATCGAACTTGGGTCCTTGCGCTTGCGCAGCAGGCAGAGGCGGAAACCACTGAGCTAAATCCCTGGCCCTGTCCTTGACTTTAATATGTAGCCCAGTTGGCTTCAGACTCTCAGTTATCCTACTTAGGTCTCTGGAGTGCTACGATTACAAGTGTGTGCCACCACACCCAGGAGGGTTATATATTTTGAGTAGAACAGTTTTATCCATTTCTTTTTTTTGGTACCGGAGATCGAACTCGGGTCCTTGCGCTTGTGGAACCACTGAGCTAACTAAATCCCCAGCCCAATTTTATTCTATTTCTACTGAGTAATCTCAGTGTGGTCAGCCATTGAGGAAGTACTAGTTTAGAAAGTCAGTAGTTTAGTGTGAAGCTGGGCATGGAGGCTGGGGCAGGATGATTCCCAGGAGTTCAAGGCCAGGCCAGCCTGAACTACATAGCGAGATCCTTTCTCAAAGACCCCCTCATTCCTGCTTTGATGTGTATTCTGTATGATCACGCATAAATACACCAAAATCAAGTCTAATTTTTTTTTTGGTACCAGGAATCTAACTCAAGGCCTCACGCTTTCCAGGGAGTCAAGTCTTAATTTTTGAAGGCCCAGAAACTTGATTTTGTTGATAGTAGTCTAGAGTGTAACAGATTCTAATTGATGCAGTTGTACTAATCTAACTCTGAAGTGACTGTGTGTATCAAAATATCAGTTAATTGTATGAGACATGAATGCTAAAAGACTAGGTAGTTCATGCCAGTCTCTAGTACAAACATAAAAGGGCGAATAAAGCCCAGTATAGTCTCAACTATCAGACAACTAAATATAAAGCTTTTTTTTCCCCAGTGAGATCGTCCTCCCAAACATGTTGGCTTACTAAATAAATATATGTGCTTTTAGGGATAGAATTGTCTTTTTAGTATGGTCATAAGTTACTATCTTATATTTACTAATACAGTAGTTTAGTAGTACTGTACATTTAATGAAATCTTTTTCATTATGAATTTACTTTTTTTTCGGGGATCGAACTTGGGACCTTCTGCTTGCTTGGGAGGCAGGCGGCAGCACCACTGAGCTAAATCCCCAGCCCTATGAATTTACAGTTTTGGTGCCAGTGTCTTTTTTTTAATCACTAGGACCAGTTTTTGAATCCTCTAATATGTAGTAGCTTTTATCTTCATTTACATGTTGCAGAAATGACACATTTTGTATTATTTATGTCATTGGAGACTTTATTCTAGAATTAAATTAGTACCTTTAAACCCCTAACCCCTAAAAGTATTATGTATAATTTTTCCTCAAAGTAACCATTTTCTTAATTGCCTTGCCTGGAGTATAACTCTGGTAGACCGTGTGTGAGGGCTGCATTCAAAAACAAAAGAAAAGTTATCATGTGACCTATTCAAGCTTTGAAATATTCAAAGCTTGCTTTGGTAAAAATCAGTTTCAGATAATCTTTGTTTTCAAAATAAAATTTGGGGAGAAAGCCTTTTTAATAAGAGATTATTGCTGGGTGTGGTGGCACATGCCTGTGATCCTCGCACTTGGGGGTGAGGCAAGAGTTTGAGTTGTGAGCTGAGGCTGGCTTGGGCTGCATAGCAAGACTATCTCAAAAAGCCAAAAACAAAGAAATTAATAAGAGATATTGTTTAATGGAATATAAAATGTTTCCCTCATTTTTGAAGTTCAGTTCTAATCCTAATAACTTTCATTTGTTTATATCAGACGAAAGTGTGCATGTAGATTTTAATGCCTAGCTGTGAGAGATTGGTACATCCGTCCTTGAGTAAATGACCCATTTGTTGCATGAACTAGGTGTTCATATTTGGTAGGATGTTACCCTTGGCCCTTGAAAATCATTTCTAGTAAATTCTAGTGGTAGTGGCTTTTCATTTGTAAAATTCAAGTCTCCGGATGGTTGGTTAAATTCTGTCTCACAGAGAGTGGAGTGAAATTAATTTTGTTTAAACAAACTTGGTACTAGCTTAGGACATTGGGAATTAAAGGTTGTGTCACTTCTCAGCCTTTTGACTTAAGACCAAGTGAAGGAATTTAAGGTTGTAGACATGTTAATTAGACATAGCCCATTTTCCTGAGGACATAACTTACCTTGTTCAGACATAAAGCATTTTAAAAATCTCTTCATTTTGGGATAGTTTTTTTAGATTTTTAATCATCTCTAATTTTCTCATTCATGTTTTGAATTTTCTTAATGTCTGTATGTTTATTTTTCCTTCATGTTACTTTGTAGTTAAGGACTTCCAACATGCAAATAATAATGGTTCTTGCTTATTTGAAAAAATTTGGGCAGATATGCTTTTGGTCCTAAAATTTATTTATTTTGTACATTTTAGTGACTTAACAGCTAATTTTTTTTTTTTTTTTTTCGAGACAGGGCCTCTCTCATTACGTAATTCAGGCTGACCTTGAACTATGTAGCCCAGGCTGGCTTCAACCTCATGGCGATCCTCCTGCCTCAGCCTCCCAAGTGTTGGGATTATAGACATGTGCCACCACAACTGGATACTTTAAAAAAAAAGTAGAAAACTGGGTGTGGTGGTGGTTGCCTGCTATCTCAGCTGCAGGGGGGCTGAGGCAGGAGAATTGCAAATTCCCAGCCAATCTGGACGATTTAGTTAGATCCTGTCTCCAGAATAAAGTAATAAGGGATGGGCTTACAGTTCAGTGATAGAGTGCCCTTGAGTTCATTCCCCACTATCACAAAAATAGAAAGTGTATTTTTGGGGTTTAGTATTAGTTTAGATGTATAACTTGTGTGTTATTTTTTAAACAAAGGAAATAATTTTCAAAATGTGAAAAGGAATGTGCTCTTATATGATGTGATCAGAGACAAATTGGAGCTAACTTTTAACAATTTAAATGGTAAAATGCTGTATGAAAATATTCTAATTTAATAAAGTGATTGTTTCTGTTCTCACTGACTGCTTGTTAAATAACTAGGTCTAATCTCTTTATGCCTCTCCCCCCCTTTTTGAGACAGGGTCTCATTATGTAGTTCAGGCTGTCCTTGAAGTCACTGGCCTTGAACTCCCAGCAATCCTCCTGCCTCAGCCTCCCAAGTGCCAGGATTACACCACCACCTCACCCAGCTACTTTTCTACTTTTAAGCTTAGGTTTTATTGTGTTTTCTTATGTTTTGCTGAATCCTTTGTTTTATTCCAGACATGCTGGTGTGTACACAGCAGAAGAAGTGGCCCTGATTATGCGTGAAAAGTTAATTCGTTTGCAGTCTTTATACATAGATCAGTTTAAACGACTTCAGCATTTGCTTAAGGAGAAGAAGCGCCAGTACTTACATAACCGCAAAGTGGAACATGAAGCTCTAGGCAAGTTTTATGCAATTAAACTACCTGTTTTACAACTGGAGATTTCTTTGCTAACTTTGGAGAAGCATCTTTGACAGTTTGCTTGCAAATTATATGTTGACTTTTGTGACTATTTAGGCAGCAGTCTCTTGACTGGCCCAGAGGGACTTTTAACCAAAGAACGAGAGAACTTAAAGCAATTAAAATGTCTCCGGCGGTATCGCCAGCGCTATGGAGTGGAAGCCTTACTACACAGGCAACTGAAGGAACGCAGAATGCTGGCCACGGATGGTGCTGCCCAGCAGGTAATTGATTCATATATTCTTAAGATACAGAATTTTATTTGCAGAATTATTATAATTGTTAAAACATTATACTCACTTCTGGCTCTGAAATCTGACACAGTGGAGCTTATAGCAAAAGCAGTTAGCTGGAAATCAGGAGACATGTTCTAGTCTCAGTCCTCTACTGCCCAGCATTTGCCTGCACAGATAGCTTAAGTTCTCTGGGCCTCAGTATTTGAATTGGGGGGTGGTGTTTGGGATGGACTTAAGTTTTTTGGTTCAGGTATTCATCACTTGAGATATAGGCATGGCCGGGTGTGGTGGTGCATGCCTGTAATCCCAGTACTTGGGAGGCTGAGGCAGGAGGATTGCTGCAAGTTTGAGGCCAGCCTGGGTTACATAGTTCAAGGCCAGCCTGAACTAGAGTGAGACCCTGTATCAAAATGAAACAAAACAAAATAACAAATTAGTTTGAAAACTGATAAGCTGTGCAGTAGTCCCTCATCCATTAGGAATATGTTCCAAGACCCCCAGTGGAGGCCAGCTTGAAACTAAAGATACTGTTGGACCCCAGTATTTTTTTCCTGTATGTTCAAAGTGTGATCAAAAAATATAGTGAATATTTATTTTTTTTTTAAAAAAAGTGTATTACAGTAAAAGACATTGCTATTAACTCCCCCTCAAAATATTTTCCCTGTCTTAACACATCCTATCATTATTGCCACTTTCTGAAACAGTTGTAGAGGTCTTCTTTCATTTCTTTAGTTGAGCTGTTATAGTTAACTGGGTGTTCTGATTTGAATCCAGATCTTTACTTTTCATCGTCATTTTGACTTTGGAGAAGAGCAACAAGTCACAACATGCTAGATCTGGTGAATAAAGTGGATGAAGACACAAAATAATGCTTTTATTATGAGCTTGCCTTTCCCTTGAATGGCACTGACCACCATTGTTCACCATATTTTTAATCACTCCTCATAAAGACCCTCACAAAAGAGGACTTCTAAAACTGCTTCAGAAAGAGGCAAGAGGGGCTGGGGGTGTAGCTCAGTGGTAGAGCACTTGCCTAGCATGTACAAAGCCCTGGGTTCAATCTCCAGCACTGAAAAAAAGAGAAAGAAAGAGGCAAGCATGATGGGATAAGTGTGTTTGAAGCAAGGGAAGTATTTGGAATATTAATGGCAATATGTCATTTACTATAATAAATTTTTATTTTGCATGTGTAATGTGTAATGATTATATTCATTGTAGTAAATTTTTAAAATTTAAACATTCACCATGTATTTTGCTCACCACTTATATATACCTATGAAATTAGTTTTATACCTATGATAGTTTAATTTATAAATTTGGCACAGTGATTAAATAACAATAATTACAAAATAGGACAATTCTGACAATATAAAGTAATAAAAGTTACTTAAAACTAGTTAATTCTTTATACCTATAATTTTTCATTTAATATTTTTAGATCAGAGTTTATCAAAGGTAACTGAAACCTTAGATAAGGAAAGACTATTGTGGTACACTTGTGTGCGGGAGAGGTGTATTTGGGATGAAAGTGGACTCATTCTTCATATGTGAGGATTTAAATTTTCACTTAATATTGATGACTCAGTTTGTTAAATGTTAATTTTTCTTTATCCTTTAAGGATGTACTTTTTGTACATACCTTAACTGTTCTCATTACAGTTAGTTTTATATGCTTTTGTGGGTTTGTTTTATCTGTTTTCTTCATTTTAGGCCCATACCACTCGTTCCAGTCAGAGGTGCTTGGCCTTCGTGGATGATGTTCGTTGTTCCAATCAGTCTCTTCCAATGACCAGACACTGCCTTACCCGTATCTTTTTCAAACTGCTTGTTTAGGCTTTGTTTTGCTAGTTATGTAAGAAATAGTGGGAATCCCTGCTAGCTTGCTTAATTGAAGGTCTTGGTTTTCCTTTGGCCCTGAATCAAGGCTGGCAGTTTTCTGTTGCTGTTGGTTTCAAGCAGGAGCCTAAAGTGGTATCTTTCTATGGTCTGTTGGCCATTTCAGAACTTTAGAAATGTAATGGTCAATTCATTAGAAAGAAACAGCTAACTAAAAAAATAAGTTTTGGGCCAGGGATTTGGCTCAGTGGTTATGCTGCCTGTCTCGCAAGCGCAAGGACCCTGAGTTCAATCCCCCATACGAAAAAAAAGTTCTAAGCCAGGTGTGGTGGTATAGTTCTGTAATCAGCAGTACTTAGGAGGCTGAGAGAGGATTGCTACAAGTTTGGGGCCAGGCTGGGCTGCACAGTGAGTTCAAGGCCATCCTGAACTACAGAGTGAGACCCTGTCTCAAAAATAAATTTTATAGTTTTAAAATTATTTTAAGAAGTACATATCAAAATTAGAGATTAAAATTTTTTGTTTATTTAGAATGATATAAGCACTTTTCAGCTATCTACCACTTTTCTTCCCTTTTATATCTGTCCGCATAACTGTTACATTTTAAGCATTTATCTTCAGAGTTTCTAATTTGTACAAGCATTTTTATATTAAGGAGAATAATCCCTCATTAGACATCACAGCAGTTAATAAATTGCTAAAATATTTAATAAACTGAATTGAAAAAAATCAGCTTTTTCTATCAAAAGACCAGAGTCTTCCAGCTGGTCATGGTGGCACATGCATGTAATTCCAGCACTCCGGAGGCTGAGACAGGAGGAGCATTCAAGCTCGGACTGAAGTACAGTAGACCTTGTCTCAAACTAAAAAACAAAAACAAGCAAAAATTAATTTAAAAAGTAATAAATAGAATTTCACCCTAAAAAGACCAAGATTGTTTCTATTGATTTTTTTTTTTTCAGACTCACCGTGTTGTTCAGGCCGGCCATAGACTCTTGGGCTCAAGTGGTCTTCATGTTTCAGTTCACGTCTGAGTAGCTGGGCCTATAGGCACATGCCACCATCTGGATAAGAAAATTCATTTTAATTTCCACATATTTGGCATCATGTAACAGTGAATATTTAACAAGTGGTTATACTATAAAAAGTAAGTTTCTTGGTGTCTTAACAAGGATGCACTCACGATCCAGTAAAAAAAAAAAAAGTGTTGCAGTCCAATGGTAAATGTAGTCCCATAGGAGATGGCAGGCATGATGGTTCAAAGGCTGATTATTGAAAGGAAAAAAAAAAAAAATCTCATTTTTGGAAACAGTTTGTAATTTGAATGAAATTTAAAATACTGTCCATAGTTGGGTATAACATCATTCTTTTGAGAAATCACAGTGATTTTTTTTGGTAATTAACAGAACTAAAATTCTAACACGTTAAATAAGGAATCTAGAGAGGAGTATTGTATGGATATTTTACAAAGCAGTTTGAAAATACCTTCTTTGATAAGGTAATTTTATCTCTGGGGATTTGAGAAGGTAATAAAACGTGGGCCAGTATTTTTATAACTAGAGACAGCCTTAAAATGCTGAGATAGGAGAGATGGGCATAGTGGTGCACACTGGTAATGCCAGCACTAAGGAGGCTGAGGCAGGAGGATCGTCACAAAAGTTCGAGACCAGACTAGGCTACATAATTCAAGGCCGGTCTGAACTACATAGCAGAAACCTGTCTCAAAAAAAAGTTTATAGAGATAGGGAATAGTGAAGTAAATTTTGGCACAAGATAATTTGGGATAATTTTAGACATTAAACATTTGAAAATATGGCTGACAATATGATAGTGACAAAAATGGGGTGATTTTTTCTCTTTTTTTTTTGGATATGCACTTTTGTAGACCATATTTAATCGTATGGAACTAAATACTGGGAAGGAATATAACAAGTATTTTTGCATGGTAGGGTTATGAATACCGTTTTTTCACTCTATACTTTTTGTTAGAGCTGGAATTAATAAAAGACCTCTTCATAGATATCGTACACAGGACTTAGGTATTTCTTAAAATGCTGTACTCAAATAGTGTACTGGAAGATATTTTAAAAAGCAAAGTTGGAGATAAAATATATTTAAGAAATGAAGGTAATTATGTTTTTCCTTGTATGCTCTTTTCCTTTCTACTCCATAGTTGCCTAAGTGACTTACCCTTCCTTAAGTCCTTACCCCAGAGAAAGATTCAACTGCCATTGGTGACCGTTAACTCTTTACTCTGGTCTTATGGAGACAGCACTGGACTGAAAGTGAAGGACCCAAACTGTAGTTGTAGGTCAACCATTCCCTTTTTGTCTCTGTAGTCCCCATATGAAAGGAAAAGGAGGTGGAGGAGGATGGGGGAGGATTTTGTTATGCTTTTGTGATATTAAATGAGAGACTTCTTTA